AGGCGCGAGCATTCCGTGTGTTTCTTCCCCAGTCCGAAGAGCGACTTCTTCTACATAGCTTCGTCCTGCCTTCGTACCCGCCGCTGTCCCAGGCTGCGCTTCCTGCCTCAACTTTCTCTTCTCTTTTTTTCTCTTTTTTTTGTCTTAATTTCTTTTCTTCTTTTTTTTTTTTTAGCCCGCCCCCAAACTCGTGATGAAACGTATATAAGAATAGCAACTGTCGTGTTCTTTAGAAAAGAAAAAAACGCAATCCCAGCAACCGCAAGGTTTAACTCTGACCTCATTCAGAAGTTAGCTTTAGAGCAGAGTTGGCAGAGCTGTTAAAGCATAGGAAAAAGACATGAAAATTGATGATAATACAACATAGGTTTTACTAAAGCTAGATCAAGCCAAAGTGGGAGGACCTTATGGTGGGATGCTCTCGGTGGTTCTGCTTAGATGCCTCCATACAAGAGGGCATGAGGGAGTGAAATGCCATCTCTGTAGACAGATTCAACATGCAGCTTGCTGCCAAACTCTTAATGTATCTGTACTGAAGAGTGTCTGAAGAACATTAAGGCAGCTAAATCTCGTAGATTTTTCATGGGAAGAGTAAAAAGTCCAATACTGGGACTAATGACCCTTCCACAGAAAAAGTCTAGAAAAAGAATGAACTATTTTTGATGAAAGTGCTTTCAGCCTTCTTTTTAATGTAAGAAAACAATTTATTTTTACCCAGTTTAATCCCAGGAAGGGATGAATTCTTTGTGTTGAAAATCTCTGCTCTTCTATGATTCAGCCTTGACCTAGAGATCTCGGGGGGGGGAGTCGGTGTGGCTATCTTGTACAGGTCTGAGGAAGCTTCTTCTAAAGTTGTTAGAACGTTAATGATGGATAAAAGTATTTGTATTCGCCTACGATATTCCTCTAGCCTTCATTATTAAAATATTTTTATTAAGTGCAAGTATGTTTCTGTGGTTTTGGCATTTAAAAATAAAAGCCGTAATTGCAAGTATTTTGCCTTTATATAGCAAATTTATTTTAAACATCCCAATTCAGTGTCTACCTGTCTCGATAAATTCCACTTGAATTTTGAGGTTTGTCGGCATCAGTTTTCGACAGAGCAAGTTATCTTGAGTCTTGACAAGACCACTAAATTTATTAGGCTTTATCTCAGAAACTTAGGTGTTGTCTTTATGCTTTGGTTTTTTATCTTCTCGTGTGTTTCCCTTCAGGGAATCACAGTATCTATAATGCATATAATTATCTTAAAATTGTATGAGCATGCTGGCAAGCTTACTTCAGGCATACAAAAGGATTGGAGTCAGTAAGATAAAAGCCTTGTGATAAACTGTGCATGGGATGTGTAGCTCCACTGTCATTCTGATGATTTAGGAAGTTGGGGACTGACTATTCATGTGGTGGTCAGCTAAAGATATCACGGCGCAGGCTATATGGTAGAGTGGTCAGAGTGTAATGAATGCAGTATTTATAGGTGAAGGTTACATCTTTTTATTCCACAACTGATATAGTTAAGAAGGAAAAAACAGAGCTTCCGGGCACTTGGGTCCTTTTACAAGGATTCACTGGATCCTAAACTATCTGGAATGTTGGGAAGCTGCAAGCTGGGAGTGAGGAATACCTGCCTTGCTGGTGCGTTCATGCTGCTTCACGTGACATGCCATCTACTCAAATGCCTGTGTTGCTGCGTGCAGCAGTGGCTTGATCCTTCCGTGCCCATTTTTCTCTCGGGTACGTTTGGCTAGAGACGTGAGGTGCCTCCATATTTACTGGAAGAATTCAGCAAGAGAGCTTTTTAGAGACAAATTTGTACTAGATAAGTTGCCCTGTGTAGAGGCTTGCACAGTGTTCCTGATGGCAGTCCCATACCTCTTTTACTACTGCTCTGGAAAAAGGATTTTGTTGTAGCATAACCCATCTTTACCCATCCTTGTAAAGAAGTAACGCTAGGCACATGTTAAAAAGACTTCTTCACAATTCCTGAGATATTGTATCTATTTTGTCTCTCAACATCGCAAACCAAGCCAAAAATCATAAGGACCTACCACAGAACTTTGTCTTTGAGCCCAGGGTTAGAGCTTCAGTTCCGGTCTGCAACAGCATCAATCATGAGAAAGAGAGTGGCGATCAGTGAGATACATAAAATAATAATGCAGATACATGCAATTTACAGGAGGTACACAAATTTCAGGATTTATTGGTGTTAGCTGTGAAAATAAGGAACATTAGCTCTCTATTTATTTTTACTAATTATTTTACTAACTCTGGGAGGCAGTTGCTAAGTGACCCTAGGAAATCTGCCAACTATCTTACATCTGTTTGATGGACATCGTTAGATTAAAACACAGGAGAAAACATTTCTGATCAAAACCCCAGTTGTACCTTAAAGGTGCTATTTTTAAAGTTTTGTTTCTGTAAGAACAGAACAAGAATAACAAAAAACAAAATCTCTTGTCTTTTATCAAATTATAAACTTAGAAAAATGGGGAAGCTTGAAGTAAAAGAACATGAAATAGGTTACTATGTTTTTGCTGGAAATGTTCATGGAAAATAACTTTTTAAGTGGTTTATAATCTGAAACTAGAAAAGATGAGCTGTTTACCCATGACAATACCTATGCTTTGTTTGCTCTGGCATCGCCTGGACACATGATTTTATCATCATGATAAAATACATCATAAATACCACCCTAAGAACAGCTCAGCACAGTGTTGTGAAACTAAGCCTTCGTTTCTGGGTAGGGATGCAAACGATGGGGTTCAGACCATCTCGTGCCATAATGACATATGGTGTGGGCGCCAAAGGGGATGTGTCCTTCACTTGCCAAGTCCAGACCTAGCTGCTGGCAAGCTGTCAAACTCAAAAGATCAAAGTACTCTCTTCCGAGCGTTTTCTCATCCTCGTGGTTCCTTTCCCACTAGTTTCAGAGTCCTAGACAAATGAGTATGTTCTAAAGATCATGTGTAAGTCCAGTGTGAGATTGAAGTGAGAGTAAATTACAAAGCTGTCCCTCTCACAAAACACAGACATAATTTGAGGTGGCATTCTCGGTAGTGGTGGCAGTATGGGATGCAAAAGGAAATATTTTTTTAAGCAGGTTCTATGTTGTCTGAGGTTTTTCAGGTGAAAACTAAAACCTTTACAAGTACAGAAGGTGGCATAAATCATGAAATGCTGCCTGAATATGTTTTTTGCTATCTACTCAATTCATTGAACATACTAAAAAAAAATCTGGATGGATTATTTAATTTATTAGTCTTTCTTTAAAATTTTACAGTACTGTAGTAAGTTTTCCTCGTGTCATCAATCTCTCTTTTTCTCTATGTACACTTCATACCATGTTATTAATGTATTTTCTTTTAATTTTCTTTTTAATAATAATAGAATATATGTGAATTTCAAACCCAGTATGGCTCAGAAGAGGAGCTCAAGTGGGCGGTCATTCCCATTGCTGCTGCTGATTATTGTTGTGGCCTTTGTTCATTTAACCGTCTGTCCCTTTACAAAAGTGGAGGAAAGCTTTAACCTACAAGCTATCCATGATGTGGTGTACCACCAACTGGACTTGGATAAGGTAAATTGGAAAGAAGGTATTCTTTCTCAGACGCTGTTAAAGATCTCAATTCCCTGCTATATGAGTAGGATAAATGCTGTATGAGTATGACTTATCCCAGTTTTCCTTTGTTTCTGATTTGCCTGTCTTACTTAAATTTTCCTTTTTGCAGTATGACCATCATGAATTCCCTGGAGTTGTCCCAAGAACGTTCCTTGGACCAATTTTTATTGCTGCTCTCTCCAGCCCAGCTATATATGTACTTTCTGTGCTAAGAATGTCCAAGTTTTACTCCCAGCTGATAGGTATGAGAACTTTAAATCACCAGAATGGAGATGTTTTTACTACTGGACCAATGGGTGACATTGTAACATTCAGTGTTAGGATCAGTGGTTAAAATGTGATGTTCTTTTCCTTAATGAAGGATTTTGCACACTGTAGGTACTTAGAGCCAGAACAGCAATTCTACCCCCACTTTGGAGTAATTAACAGCACAGAGAAAATCTGTGCTAACAAGTGTCAGACAGTGTAGAAACAGAAAATGTCTTCAGAGGATACACACCCATGTGTGCTTCCATGTCACCTTCAGAAAATACTGTTTAACTGGGCCATAGAAGCATTGACCTTTGTGCAAAAGGGTCAGACAAGTTAAAGGTAGATTAAAACAGATAAACAAACAGTGACATTATTTTTTCTTTGAGGTGGGTTATATTGTGGTATCCTCAGTAGTATTCTTCATAACTTCTTCCCATTACATTATGTAACATGGTTGTTTGTCAGCAGTCTGTCTGATATTGTTCTTATTTCCCATTTTTATTCTTCTAATAGTCCGAGGAAGTTTGGGGCTCAGTGTGATTTACACATTATGGAAGTTGCAGAAAGAAGTTAGAAAGCAGTTTGGAGCAACTACTTCAACAGTCTTCTGTCTCATTACTGTTACTCAGTTTCATTTGATGTTTTACTGTACACGAACCCTACCTAATGTGTTTGCACTTCCTTTTGGTAAGTATTAACATAGGAATAATTTTAAAATACAAAATTTCTTCTCAAATTTATCAATAGTGAAAGCACAGAAAGTGTGTGGTCAGACCAAATTAATATACGTGCTTGAGTAAATTGTGTGATAACAGGACTAGAAAACTTAACTAATTGTGATTTCTTTCTATGTTTTTACTGTATATGCTTACAATAACTGTTGAATCAAGTTTTATTGAATCTGTATATGTGGAGTTTGTCTAATGGTTTTGATTAACTAGAGGTTTGAATACACATATCTGCATAAAACAAAGAGCTAATGAAAAGGCAGTAGGTACACCCTGCAGTTCAAAAAACATCTGTGGACTTAGTCTGCACACGAAACAGCTCTCTTGTGTGGAACAAATTCCCACCACAGCCTCTCCACCTTCCTCTTCTGGAGTTACCTACAAATGTAGCAGTTTGTACACTTAAGGTAAAGGGGGAAAAAATCAAAGTCAAAACCTTACTCTACACATACAGTTTTTCCCCAGAGATGATGAGAGGGAAGATTAACCACATGTGACAGGTGCTAGCTGAGTCACTTAATGCTTCGGTGCAAGTCGTTCAACTAATAAAATCATGAGGTTGGTGTAAGAACCTGTGTCGATCAGAACTGAACAACAAAACAAAAAGCAGTTGAATTGTCAGATAAACACTGTGTAATAATAAACTTCTCAGATAATTTCTGCAGCTATTAAAATATACAAGCTGTTTCATGGTTTCGTGCTGTTAATACTTCTCACAGTTTCCTTAGGATCATGACCACTTCACTATGTAGTCAGTGTTGTCATGTGATTTAAACTGTGAAAAAGTAGAAGCAATTTCCTCTATAGAGGTACAGTGTGTCTCCAGCTAACCATGCAAATAGCCTTACAGTTCCTTCTCCCTGAGCGGTAGTCTGTAGTCTTTTTTTCATACTCGAAATGGGGTGGTATCATGAATACAGGATAAACTCAGCCAAGAGAATAAACTAACTCTTCAGCTGATACTGAGCAATTATAATTATGGATCTTACTTTGAAATGCTTTTAATACTCCCGTAAGGTTTGGGTTGGTTTGTTGGGTTTTTAGGTTTGGTTGGTTTTTGTTTGTTTGTTTGTTTGTTTTTTTCCAAAAGCTATATATATATATACTGTCTAGGAAGAGTTCCCATGTGTTCCTTCTGTGCTTATACTTTTCCTAATTATCAACACTTTTCCTAAGTAGCAACAGTAGAAAGTTGTGTGTTATTCCAAATTACATTTCTCTAACAGAGGGAGAATTTCTGGACTACAAGTGGCAGGAAGACCAAGAGAGGATTGGTAGGAGTTAGAGGAACAAGATGCTAGCGTTGAGAAAAATTGTTGCCCTCTGCAAAAATGATATTTCAGTGTGTCAGACGGTGTGCTTTATTTATTTTTGCAGTGCTCCTGGCATTGACATTTTGGATACAGCAAAAGCAAAGGCCATTCATTTGGTTCTCAGCTTTGGCAATTATAGTCTTCAGATCAGAGCTCTGCATATTCTTAGGCCTCATGCTCCTGGTGACGTTATTAACTAAAAGAATCTCCATTTTCAAGGTGCTTTCCCATGCTGTTCCTGCTGGAATTTTTTGGTTGGGTAAGTGTTTGCTTGGAAAAAACCAAGTGCCACATAGTAAATTCAACAGCGTTTTGGAGATTTGACTGACTTCTCTGGTGACCTGGCCCCTAGGGCTTTTTTTCTTTTTTCTTTTTTTTTTTTTTTTGTCTGGTTCCATTTGCTAGTAGTATGACAAGGGTATTTCTTTGAAAATTTCCGTGTGAGAAAACAGGTGTGCACAGAGCAGTAGAAAGATACTGTGACCCCCACCTCTAGGTGCTTACAGTGTAATGTCCTGCTCTTTAAAGGGCTTAGGACGTGTGAGTTGACTTTAGTATAATTAGTACCTGGCTGTAGCTACACGTGCATTATCAGCTGTGGTACCTATTGCCATGACGATAAGCTGAATCCCAGGATAAAATACAACAGTGTGCCAAACAGGGATAGTGAGCAAGAGGTTTGTGACTCTTCACAGTTGAGCTCTGTTTCTTTATTACATTAATTTTAATAGCTTAAGTGATTATCCATGCTGTAGAGGTTGAAAAATCTCCTTGTCTCTACCCATCCGTGGAAGGCTCATGCATTTAAATACTCTAAGCTTCTCTGCCAGCCTACCTAATTAAAAATGCTGTTGCCAGATGCCTGATAATGACTTCTGGTAGCATGCTGTCCCTTCCACAGCGTGGACAGTAGAAACAATAAAAGATTGTGCTATGTGCATTTGGAGGCACCTCATAGCTTAGGAGTTTGGAGGTGCAACAGGAATTAGTCACTGGTACTCCTGTTCCCTCTCTGGGCAAACTTCTTAAATACCAGAGCAGTTTTCGTAGAGCTGAGTGGAGGGGGGGGACGCTGACGGATTTGCTGCTCTTCTGTCTTTTTGCCTTTCATTCCTTATCCTCCTTGTTCCCTCCCACCTAATACATAGTAGCAAACTTACAGAGATTGTTTTTCATAACTTACCAGCTTTACAATAGAAACCCATTTAGTACCATTTGAAGTTAAGCTGGGTTTCTTACCATTCATTAAGTGTGATGCTCTACAACTTTTTTTATTTAAACCACTGCTTTTCACACCTGAGGTTGGAGCGGGGCGAATCTCAGATTCCTATCTAAGGTGCTTCTATTAAGAAGTGCCTCCCTTCTCTGTGTTTTCCAGTGCAAGACAGACAGATTCAGCCTTCTCTGTGGCTTTGGGTGAGGCTTACAATGCGTGTTCCAGTTTATGTTGATCTTGTCAGTAAATGTGCAATTTGGGTGTGCTTGTTTGCTTTTCCCTAGTTTTTAATTTACGGAGATTTGTATTTCTTTAATTCTTTTAGGGCTAACAGTTGCTGTGGATTCTCTGTTTTGGAGGCAAATTGTGTGGCCTGAGGGGAAAGTGCTGTGGTATAACACAATTTTGAACAAAAGTTCCAACTGGGGAGTATCCTTTGAAACGTCCAGGGAAACAGATGTATTGAACACTACCAGCCAAAGCAAAGATTTTATGTAATCTATTCCTGAGACTCAGTTATGGTGTTAAATTCTACTTTTCATCTAGTATTTCATTGTTTGAAGCTTATGAGACAGTATCTGTTTCTTAGATCTTTCTGTAAATTTTAACTTTCTTCTGCTGACTGTTCTTTCTTGCTTCTTTGTGTTCTACCAATGTAGAGCCGGGTTTCTTCCCCTTGGTTTTTCATGTTGCCCATCATTAGCAGCACTTGATGTGCCTCTGGTGATGTGAATGTAGTGAGGCAACTGCTTTTATTTCTCAAAGGGGAAGACAGAAAACCAAATGCCTAGAAAAATGTGATACACAAAAAATAGACTGCATATTTGCAAAATTTGCATGTACTACTGTGAAGAATAACTACTTGTCAGCGGTGAAATCATCCTTAACTCTCCTCCTTGAAGACCTCCCCCTTCTTGTGGTATTTCTATTCAGCCCTGCCTCGTGCTTTGGGATGCAGCATTATATTTGTACCTTTAGGTGTAGCAGAAAAGAGAACTCGGATATTACTTTTGCCAGCACTGGGCTTTATTTCCTTGTATTCGTTTCTCCCACACAAAGAGCTGCGTTTTATCATATATACTTTCCCTGTCTTCAACATAGTGGCTGCTAAAATGTGCTCACGAATGTAAGTTCAAAATTCTGTTGTTTTTTTTTCTCTGAAAATGTAAAAGGAAAGCAAAACTCTTATTACTATTTTTATGCACTTCTTTCCATCTTGGAATTTGGATCATCTTGAGATCTTTATATGCTTTAGAAAGGAGGTCTGTATCATTGTACCCATTTGACTAATGAGGGAGATGGAGACAAAGAAAAGTTAAATGATTTGGCAGGACCATGTGGCAAGTCTGGGCAGAGTCAAGAATAGAGCCCTGATTTTACTGTTATGCTGATACATTTCCGTTTATTTTACCCACCAGGGAAAAGGATGCTTTCCAGTGTAGTACTGCGTTCTTAACATAACTTACCTTAGGAGATAGTTCAGTATACAGGTGGAGCTCGCAAAACATGGTTTATATTAAGTAGTTAAACTTGGGTATATTGAGTAAACAAACTTTTGAGTAAGTTAAACTCTGAACTTCTTTGAAAGAGAATACTTTCATAGCTATAAGGTTTTAAACACAGAAATACTTAGCTTTATTGATGAGCTTTTATTAGCTTTATTAATGAGAGTATTCTAATTTAAATGCCACTAGAAGCTAGTCTTTTAGAAATTGAATAAATGCATTCCATATACATGATTGTAATAAAGTTTGCATTAATATTTATTATCTAGCAGTGGAGTTTTCATAAAAATTCTGTCACAATAATCAGTGACCTGTATGACAGAAAAATAAGTTTATTCTTACTCATTTTTTTCCCCCTTCAGTCTGAATAACCACCGGAAATCCTGGCTGTACAAACTTGGATCTTTCTTTGTTATAATGCATCTTCTAGTTAATGCTGCTTATTCAGGAACATCCTTGTATGTTTCACATTTCAATTATCCTGGAGGAGTGGCAATTCAGAAGTTGCATGAGTTGGTACCTTCAACAGCAGGTATGTAAAGCTGGCTTGAGGTTTGTTTGCCTAATTTCAATCGCCATTTTTTTTCTGCTAGTATATCTCTACATGTATTGGATATTACTTCTTCACACTATTTACATGCATCTTTTCTGTTACTGTTTTGTTAATTTATTAATCAGAGTGTTCTTAAAATTTGAAATTGTATTTTGTTTTCTTTGTTTATGTAGATGTTTCTGTTCATATTGATGTGGCTGCAGCACAAACAGGAGTTTCTCGGTTTCTAGAAATCAATTCAGATTGGAGGTATGTTATGAACGAGGTGTTTTGATCTGGAGACAGGAGCCGGCTTTTTCCTTTTTTATGTATGTCCAGGGGCAAGCATCAGAGCTATGGTTTCTGGTACAGCATATTTATTAAGCCAGGTCAAGAACAATGTGGAACTTCAGAGAATTTTGATGTGCACAGTGCCGTCATTTCAGAAATAGAGCACTGCAACTTTAAAAATTGTTTTCATTGGTTCTGGTTTGCCTAAATAGCGTAGAATCTTTTAAAGACATCGGAAACAGTGCAAAAAAATGTTAGCTTACTAAACCACCAGTATCTTTAATGCAGCTATGCTTGATCTCTCACTAGATGTTGTAAAACACAGCTGTAGATGAACACTTTTCTGCTGTTGGCAGAATAGTGTATATAATTGTGGGGGTATCTTCCCAATTTGTTTGTTTTTGAAGGATGTGTGGCAATGTGAGGCTTGTTTGCGTATTAATATTCAGTCTATTTTTATGTGGAACATCCTTCACACAGATGGCATTGAAGCTGCTGTTGTGGACTATCGGTCACATTCATTGTCTCTGAGGGAAAGCAGTTGAAGTGCTTTGTTATCTTGATCAGCAGTGATGTACAGACAGTTTTAAGAATCAGGATATTGAAATGAATAGCAGGAGACATTTGCTGGGATGGCATAGCTTGCTTTTTGGGATGCGGACAAAAAAAAGGCACCTTTCTGATTCTTAGGCCTACCTCTTCATCTGAAGCATACGTTTCTGATATAAAATGCTACTGTAATGAAAATGATTCAGCAGAAAGCGACACACAGCCTCACTTCGTGCTTGCATAAAACAAAATACAAGCAGATTTTGGTTTAAGAAGTACTCTGAGCGTAGAGTTCTTTTTCCCCAGTTACAGTCTTCAGAATCAGATGAACAAACATAATTTAATTATTGATATGTTTAAAGTTAGAAGTATTTTTGAAGTAAAGAGGAAAAGTATCCTTTTGGGGGAATTATAAAAATCATTGAGCTTGCTATGCCTTATTTTATTTCTGTGCTCTCTCATAATATTGTCATGGTACAGACAGTTTAAAGCCTTCACAGATACCAATCCAATGTTTTATTTCAAATTTGGTTTTTTGTGTGTTCAATCTAGAGAAAGTCTTAAGCCATGAACAGTCAGGAGGAGATATTAGAGTACAAGTGATAGAACACGCATGATGGCTAAAATGTTCCAACCTTTGTTTTTTGAATATACTTAAGTACATACACTACTCTAAATACAACTCGACTCTCTAAATTTCCATTTTCAGTAATTTCAATGAGCTTTTTGAGGTGGTGGCTTTTGGATTGTTTTGGGCTTGCAAGGCTGAAGTGTAGTGGGATTGGAAGGTGAATGAATAATAGCACTGTCACTGATGGATGTTTTATAGTATTGCAGCTACAGAGTAGTTTGTCTCTCTCTTTTTTTATCTTTGCTCATCATAAAAAAGCCTCAAGGGAGTGCTGATTCATCATGAAGTTTCACATTAAAAAAATCAGGCAAAATCCACAACTGAGCATCATACACAGGACTACCACTTTGTCTGACAGCACACTAGTGCAAAGTTTAGTGGCACCAGCTGTCCCATTTTCTCTTTATCCAAGGAAGTGACAGCCTTTCAGATGGTTGAAAACTAATTTACCATCTTCATAGACTGTGTACATCAGGTGAAAACAGATTTATGGATGGAGTGGCTATGAAGGCTGATGATTCATCAGGATAACTACAATCCGTAAATAAAAGTGTCTTAAAGTTAACAGCTTTCAGTGGCGTGCTCAGATTAGATCTGTTTGCCTCAAGAAAAATGCAAGTGATCCATTATTTTTCTTCAAAGGGTCATTGAAAGAAGCTTGATGCAGATTCTTACACAGAACAGGTGTTACAATCTTGTCTTCAATTAGTGCAGTCTCTTTGAACCAGGAATAAAGATGCTGTGTAAGCTTAAAGTATTTAAAAATAATAAAATTCAGAAATGCTTGCAGCCAGATGAAAGGCCCTTTATTTGCTGATGAAGAAAATGCAAAATTAGTAGTTGGTAAAGTTGTTACTCAGTATGCCATTCCTTCTGCTGGTTTGGACACATGTACCATCCTAAAGTGGTGTTGTGATCTTTTTGGAAATAGATGAAATTAGTGTGTAATTTTTTTTAGAAGAAGAAGAAAGCACTTGTTCAGTGTGCAAAGTCTAATCCTGCATTTTATGGTGTATTTATTGACATTTCTGGATTCTGTCAGCCTGGGGTCTGTTCTGAGTTGCCGACATTTTAGTTAACAATCCACACAAATCCTCTAGTTTGCTGTAGAGTACTCGCTTTAAATATCTTAAATGTTCATGGCTGCTATACCGGGGAGTGTTGTAAAAACATAAATTGAGATTGTTTCCAGTTTTTCACAGAGAATTCAGGCAGATGAGAGGCCAGGCCTGCAAAGACATGCTTGGCGAGAGATGCAGCCTGGATTTATTCCTAGGTGCATTCAAGAGTATGTAGGGTTGGGGCTGCACCACTTCCCTACCGGTGTCCGTGCCTGTAAGAAAAGCCACAGCCTTCAGTAAGTTGCTTGTGAAATGCGTGGGAAGAACCAGGTGCCCAAGAGTAGGAGTTCCAAAAGCTGGCAGAAAACAGTTCACAGAGAAGAGCAATAGAAAGGGTGAAGAACTGGGCACTGCTCTTCACGTGGGTTGCAGAGCATGGACACTCTTCTAGTTAGATGCCTAAGACTGTCTTGTCATAAACAAACTGAAGGTAGGTAACCTCCACCTTAACCTCTGTGTCCTGGACTGTTAACCCGGCATTAGCGTAGAATGTTTTTCTGGGATATAGAGCAAAGATTTGAATCCAGGTCTCCCACTTCTGGAAGCACACTTCACAGTGGTCTATGGAGTGTTTTGGGTGGACTTGTCTTCCCCTTTGAAGTTGTTTGATTGAGGACTCGATCAGGCTGCCATGTCCAGTGTGAGCATCCTAACCCTTGGGCTATAAATTCCACCTGACTTCTCTTCAGTGAATGAATAAATAACGATTGTGAAGTAGAACAGTGTCTTCGTGAGAGAGTGAGGGAGATCTACCTCAATTTCTAGAAAATTAGAGAGGTTCATACAGCTCTCTGAGATAACAAAATGCAGTTCTGGACTTAGATCAGGCGGAGAGTGGCTGAAATTAGATCTTTCACATCCCTGCCAAATGCTTAAGTCACTTCTTATCCTGTAAACTCTCTCTATGGCTAGATTGAATATAACTCCTTTTAAGAAATAACTGTAAGTGTACATGTTAAATAGTTTTAGAACTCACTAGTTACTTTTTATATAATTTAATATATAAATTATATATATTTAGGTACCTAAACAGGTTTATAAAAGCTGACCCAAAGTGACCTGCCCAAACGTGTAGTAGATCGGGGAACTGAATGTAGAAATAACAAGTGCCAAGTTAATACTGTAATTTCCAGGCTGTTCTTTCTTTCCTACAGTGTTCAAGGAAGTCTTCTCCCTGCTATTCTCTGAGGCTTCTACTTTTAATGTATGGCTACCAGAAGAGAAAGGTTTCTGCTGAAGTGCCTCATAACATTTTTCTTTTTTTAGTTAGAAAAAAGGAAAAAAAAAAACCCAAACCAACAAGCCTCCCCCCCCCCCCCCCCCCACTCTCTACATTTTTATTTTGT